AGGAGCTGCAGGGGAGCCCCAGGAGCAGGCTGGGATGCCACTGGAGCTGCTGGGACACTGGCACTGACAGGAGCTGTGCTGCTGTGCCTGGCAGGGCTCGGGGCAGTGAGGTTTCAGGGGAAGCCACAGAGTGTTTGCAGCTCTGCCACCCCATCAGCTGAGCAGCCCTGACCCGAGCTGGGCAAATGAGTTCATTGAGCAGCAATTAGAGAGCTGTAATGGACAGGAGGAAACGGCAGCTCTTGGGCTGAAACCTCTGCTCTGAGATGAGAGTGCTCATTAAACAGCAGCGAGGTCACAGTGTCTGTGCTGGGGCTGCCACCTGCCCTCTTTGAGGGCAGAAGCAATGAACTCCTTTCCTGTTTTGAATTGCTGCAGCTCAGGCTTTCATACATTTTTCAAATGCAAAGATAAAACCCCTTTCACTTTTCAACTGCCTTTCAGGGGCTCTTCTCTGCTCTGAAACTGCAGCGTTTTCCAAAAATACATTCAAGCTGCTCCTTCCTCAGCTTCCAGCTGTTTGTACTTGTGAGAGTCAACAGTCTGCACGTCCAGACAAAACCCAGCTCTCCCCAGCTCCCCGCAGTCCCCAGGCTGGGATGTCCCTGTGTGTGACCCTTGCAGGGCCCGTTTCCGTGCCTCGGCTGCGTGCACACGGAGCAAAGCCCTCACAGAGGGGGGCAGCTCCTCTCCCTGCGCTGCCTTGGCCCTGGCATGGTGTTTTGCTGTCTGAAAGGATCAGGAAATACATTCCTGTGGGCTGAAGGAAAGCAGGGGCAGAAGGAAAAACAGGAATCCTGCCTGCTTGCTGTGGATGATGCTGGAATGGTGCAGCTGCACCATCAGAGATGCCCAAGCCCTGAGGAGGATGCTGTGCCTCTGCCACGGGGGATTTTGGCATTGTCACAGCAGAAATTTGTCAGGCTGGAGCTGGAAGGTGCAGTAACACGAGCTGGCTGCTCAGCCCTGCCCCAGCATCTTGCCAAGGAGAAACAAACTCAGCTTGCAAAATGCCCCCACGCTTGGATCTTCCTGGATGAATCCTTAAAGGACTCAGCTCCTTGCTGCCACTCGTTGCATCTCATATTTTTGCAGTCAGATTTTATCTGCATTTTTATCTGCCCCTGGAGCCCTGAAGTGTCCAGGTTGGACACTGGGGCTTGGGGCACCCAGGGACAGTGGGAGGTGTCCCTGTCCATGGCAGGGGTGGCTTTAGGGTCCCTGTAACCCAACCATGCCATGATTCCATGAGTCCACTGGCATCACTGCCACCCTCAGGGGGCTGCAGGAGGCATACAGGCTTCTGGGGAAGGGGGATGAAGCTGCCTCACACTCTGCATCAGGAACAGCCTGACCTTGGCCTGGGGACATCCCCCATCTCCCTGCACAGACAGGAATGAACCCGGGCATGGCTGAGCAGGGCTCTGCAGAGAGGAAAATGAAAGCAGCTCTCCCTGGCAGCTCCGGCTCTCCCCACCTGCTCTGCACCTGTGAGAAGGGCAGCCAGAGGTGCCAGCAGGCTGGCTAGATCCAAATGCACCCCTGGAAACAGGGATAAATGACCTGCTCTGTGACAGAGAGGTTCTCTTTGTTTATTTTGAGGTTTCTGCAGAGTTTCCCTCTGGCTGGGAACAGAACCTGGCACTCCCAGCTCGCTGAAAAGTAAGGTCAGAGAAGTTATTTTCACATTAGACAAACAAAGTGTAAAGCCTCACTGCTTGGGAAAGAGTTATTTTCCTTTTGACAAGGTCAGGCTCCCTACAAACACCTCATTATGCCTCTTCCAGCAGGTGTGGGTCCCTCCAGGGACCCTATTTCCAGGAGTGCTAAAATAACCAGCTGAGGGGCACCTTGCTCCCACCACAGGGGAGGATTATTTTTAGCTGCTGTTTGTGCCTGCCTTTAGAGCTCCCTGGGGAAAGTCCAGCTGTGGAGAGCAGGATTCCTGCAGCCTGTCCTGCCACTTGGCCCCCTTTGTTCCTCAGACCGTGCCCTGGAAGTGTCTCTTTTGTCTCTGAGAGCAGCTTTGCCCCTTTCAGTCCCTTTTTGTGTCACCCTCAGAGCTGCAGGACAGGCAGAGCCCATGTGCCAGGAATTTTGGAATATTGTGGCAACCAACACTGCTGCCTGCCCTGGGATGCAGCAACACCAGCAGATGGCAAAGCACGAGCTAAACTGTGGCCACACAGCAACTGGAGAGTGCTGGGAGTTCCTCACAGGAACAGGACACAACTCCAAGGAATGGTCTGGGCCCATGGAGAGAGGATTAAACTGGAATTACTGGGGAAAAAGCTGCTCTTGACTGAAACCAGTTTGTCCAATATAAGAGCCCCGTCCTCTCATCCCCTTCCTGAGATCATGACAACCTCATGGCTTTGCCATGGTCAGCCCTCAAGAGGATTGTTCAGATACTTTGGTGCTAGAAACCCACTGGCAAGCAGCAAAGCAGAGAAATAGAAATGTTCTGGGTTTGGAGCAACTAATTTAGGAGAAAAAGATCAAAAGAGCAGTCCCACACTATCATTAATGTTAACACCAGCCATTCCAGGGACTTCAAAGGAAGAATTCATCAGGAAAAGGTGAAGCTGCAGCGTGGAATAAAACATGTGGATGTGTCTTGGCTGGCGGGAGGAGGCAGCTCAGTCCCCAGAGGCACAGAGGGCTCAGTGACACCCAGTGTTTGCTGCGCTGCCCACTGGGGAGGGTGGGCACGAGTGGGATCCCAGCTGGGGCTGCAGAGCTCCTCCTGCAGAGAGCTGTGCTTTTCCAGGCTGTGCCTGAAGGGATGTGCTGTGGGCAGGACAGCACACACACACAGGAAAACACCCATTTCCAGCACAGCTTGGAGTGGGAGCTCCTGCAGCTCACATGTGTTACCCAGAACAGCACGTGGCAAACTTTCTGCAGGGCTTTTTATTTTAACATTTTTAGGCAGGGCCCCTTGCTGGTGCTGATACCCCCACGGGACAGGCGTGGCTGCCCCAGGGCCTCCTGTTCTGCAAGGAGGGCAGAATTTGGTTATTTGCTGTATCTTCCTACTATTATTTTTAGCCGTCAGCAGATTCCATGAACTTTCTGAGGGAGATGTAAAAATGGGGGAAATCCAAGAATTCAAGAAATTCACATGCTGCAGAGGGACACGTGGGTGCTCAGCCATGTGGGATGCTCCCTACAGATCCCAGCCAGCAGAGCAGGGTGAGATTTTCCTGCTCCTTTTAAAATCAATAGCCTGCTCCTCCTTAAACCCTTCCAAGCTGCTCAGAGTGCAGCACTTGCCAGGAAGTGCAGCTGTGTTAGCTGGAAGTGCATTAGCTTCTCTCGAGAGGCGTTTATGAAATTAATATTCCCATCAGCCCTAATGAAGAACTTTTCCCTAAGATGAGCCCCGAGCCTGCTGGCCCAGGCCTTTCCCAAGGCTCGAGGGCAGCCCAGAGTGCAGGAGCAGCAATCAGGCACGCTGCATTTGGGGTCACCCCCCTCCTGCCATGCACAGGCACCCCATCACCTCACAGCTCACATCAGCCAGCAGCAGTACATCACTGCCCCATCACCTCACAGCTCCTGTCAGCAGCAGTACATCACTGCCCCATCACCTCACAGCTCCTGTCAGCAGCAGTACATCACTGCCCCCCAAGCTGAGCTGGCAGAACAGGTCAGGGAAGCCCCAGTCTGCACTGATTCCTGTGGAGACTCAGGCAGTGTCAGGAGAAATGAAGGATTGCTCTGCACAGACTTGTTCAGACAGGGAGGTTTCGACGCTGTCTCGAGGTGCAGCACACGTGGAGGGCACTGACACACCTCCAGCACGGCCCGGAGGAGCACAGCTTCACCTCCTGAGCGTGTCCCAGCAGCTCCAGCCACATCCCAGCCCTCAGAAACAGCTCCTCTGCCAGCACAGCTCGTTGTGCTCTGCTGCTCCCGAGGCGCTGCCACGCACAGCCGGGACGCTTGGGATGCTCCTGAGCTGTGTCAGGCCCTGGGGAGCAGCCTTGGACTGCTCAGACACCCCTGGGGAGCAGCCCTGGACTGCTCAGACACCCCTGGGGAGCAGCTCTGGACTGCTCAGACACTCCCTGCCCTGCTCCCCAGCTCTGCTGGAGAAGAGCTGTCCTCATCTGCCAGGAGCCCACTGATGGAATTTGAACTCCCCCTCCAAAATTAGTGATTTCTCCCGGACGAAAGCTGCCAGGATGGACAAAGCTGGTGCCCTTTGCCTCCCCTGGCAAACCTCTGCTAAACATGAGAGTCTGGGACTGCATCCTCCCCTCGCCAAGGCACAGGACTCCCAGTGGTTCTGGCTCCCGAGGCTGGCATTTCAGCCCCACCGAGGTGTGTGTGTGTGTGCAGAACCTCTCCTACCTCTTTAGGCATTTCCCGTGGGAAGAAGAAGTATGGCAGGGCACACAGGGCCACCAGGCTGGCGGCCACCAGGAAGCCGAGCCACCAGGCCCCCACCCAGCGCGGGTCCTTGTTGGTGAGCTGCACCTCAGCTGCAAGAGGAGAGGAGAGGGGCATCAGACAGTGCTGGCACAAAGCAGGGACCCCAGTGCACCAAAGGCTGGCCCCTGCCACCCCCAGCACCAACCAGCCCCAAGGCGGTGGCTCCCAGCCCTGGGACCATCAGTCCTGGGGCCTGGGCAGCGTTTGTCCCCATCATCCCACCACTAAATCACATTTCATGGTCTCTGCCCCATTTCCTTGCTGCCCCCAGGGTGTCCAAAGAGCCCCTTTGGATGGAGACAGCAGGCACAGGGATGTGCTGGATGCCCACTCTGCCCCACTGGCAGGGACAGAACAGAGAACCCCCAGGGGGCTGGAATCCCCTCTTCTCCCAAAGCTGTGGTGCCCCACCTGAGGTGACTTTGTCGATGTCCACGTAGAACCTGAGCATGGCAGAGCCCAGCATGAAGGCCACCCCCGGCCCCACGACGGTCAGGGAGAACAGGATTCCTGTGGGACACGAGAGCAGGGAGGGCTCAGCCGGGGCAAGGGGCCTGGGGGACACAGGAGCCTCAGGCTGGGACCAGGCTCTGCTGCACCTGCCTCCAGCACAGCCCATTGCCCTGGCAGCTTTCCCATCTCCAGGAGCAACAGCCCCATGCTCCCCACCTTCCTTTCCCACGTGGAATTCCCTTTGGCTCAGACCTCTCCTGACACTCAGCCTCCTAGAAGGCCTGCAGTACTCCCAGGAACAGGAGGTGCCCCTTGGCATCAGTAATCCAGGGAACACCAACTTTTACAAGGGGAAGGAGACAAAAGTTATCAGTGAACTCTTCTCTGTGAATTGCTTATAAAAGAAATCCACACATGTAAGATTCAACTCCTACCTTACATGTGAGAGGTTTGGATAATCTACCAGAATAAAACCTGACGCTGTGCTTCCTTTTTTCAGTAGTAATGACCTGCTTTTGATCTACCTTTGCTGCTCCATTCAGTTCAAGGCTGTGGCAGGTAACAGCTGGGAAAACTGGAAGGAGCTGCAAGGACCACCTTGTCCATCCCAGCACCCTGGGACACCCCTGTGGGCCTGTGCCCAAGCTGTTCTCCAGCAGCCCCTCTGCTGAAGGGTACCCTTCCCTCTCCCAGGTGAGTAATACTGCTTTCTTTGGTTTGTTTGGTTTGGTTTGGTTTTTTTGGCTTTGCTGACAGCTAAACAGAGTCCCCACTGCTGCCCCTTAAACCCAACAGCTGCCACTTGTGAACACAGAGATCAGGCTGTCCCTCTGGTCCTTCCTGAAGCCTCTTTGGAGGAGGATATGGAGTTTTTGCCATCCTCAGGCCAAACCCCCAGCTTCTGCCCCAAACGGTATTTCCCAGCTCCCCTGCTGCCTGCCCAAGCCTGAAGCACATAAACCCTTTCTGCAGAATCCTTCCTGGCCGTGGGCAGAGCAGAAGGGCTGTAATGAACCCTGCTCTCATTAATGCCCGGAGCAGCCTCACCCAGGTAGAGGGGGGAGTTCCTGTGGCTGGCGAAGTCGTCGATGTAGGAGATGCCGAAGGGCTGGATGGGCACGCCGCCGATGCCCAGCAGGGCCTGGGCCACGAACATCACCAGCAGCACCTCGTGGTTCTCCCTGGAGCCGTGGGGAGGGCAGCTGGCATCGCTCAGGTTGGCCCCAGCGCCCGGGGCCCCAGGCTGGCACAGGTCCGTGGTGTTGCTGAAGGTGCCTGGGGTGACAAGGGGACAGCCCTGAGGAGCTGGGTCTGCAGGAAGGATTCTTCATTTAGGCGCTGGAAGGCTCTGAGCTCTCCCTGCAGCCTTCTCCAGGAGAACACCCCCAGCTCTGGATCTGCTCCAGCAACTCCACGTCCTTATCTCGGTCCTTGTCTTATCCTTATCCTGATCTTAGATGGCAGGTGAAAGAAAACACAAAGAAGTGCAAAGATCGCTGCACTGGTGTTTACAGAGACAGGATCATGAGCCAGGAAAGCCTTCAAGGCTTTTCCTCCATCAAAGGTCACTCCAGGACCTTTGACAGACCGCCCAATACAGGTACCTGAGCAAACCTGCAGATTTTGTGAGCAGCTACCCAGGAAATGAGAGCTCATTTTCCTCAGAAGAGGAAAGGGCTGATTCCAGCAGCCTCATCTTCCTCAGAACCCCAGGCAAGGGGGTGCTGGTGCTGACAGCAGGATTTCCATGGTTATGCCCCAGATCCTGTGGAATTCCAAGTACTTGGACAAGGGCCCACCTGCAGCAGCACTGCTGAAACACCAACTCAGTGTTTCCAAGCTGGGGTTGCAGCTGGCCCCTGCTTGCAGCCAGCAATGGTTCACCTATTCAGCCTTCCTTTGGTCTCTGCAGTTGCCTGAACCAGCTGCTCTCCCTCTGGTGAGCCAAACATGTTTAGTGGAGGCTTCTAGAAGGTTTGCTGGAGCTTCATGGCAGGGACTGGGGAGGTAGCAAGTTACTTGTTTTCTCCTTTCTTTCTGTTCCCATCCCTTCATTTTCCTTAGGGAGAAAATCCCAACGCCACCCTGTCCTGTTCCCTCCATGAGTGATTTAAACCCTTTCTCAAGGGAGGCTGATATTCCCGTGGGGTCTGAAACCTCAAGGACAGCCCAGCTAGACCAGGGAAGGCAGGTGAGGCTGGATGTGCAGCAAACAAGGGGAATCAGAGGCACAGTCTGCATTTTGATTGTTTTCCTGCCCTTTCCCGTGGTTCCCACATCCCCCTGGCTCTGCTTTCCACCAGTAGCTGTTGCCTCTCAGGGCTGAGATGATTTCATTCTCAGAAAAATAAAATTTCCTGAGGACAAGCCAACAGCTTGGAGCTCCCCGTGCCTGGAGGGAAGGGCATTTCACAACAGCTCCCAGTGCCAGGGGGCAGGCATAGGTGGGATGTTGGGAAGGAATTGCTCCCTGTGAGGGTGGCTGCCAGGGAAGCCGTGGCTGCCCCAGGATCCCTGGGCTGGTGGAAGGTGTCTCTGCCATGGCAGGGGTGGAACGAGATGATCTTTATGGTGTTTTCCACACGAACCATCCTGTCATTCTGCTATTTGCTCCTGCTGTCCCAGGGCCCAGGGCAGGTT